ATATACAAATTAGAAGATACGATACGTAAAATATATTAATTATCAATTAATTCATAGTTCGAGTTTGATTTATTAAACATGAATTTTTTTTCAATGATTCATGCAAGATAGAACTTAAAAAAAAAATAAAAAAAATTCCATTCATACGTTTTTTCTTGCATAAATCATTGAAAAAAATATCGAAAAACGAATTTTTAGCGCCTATTTATGATGTAAGTTTATTAGAGAATAAAATAGTTTCAACTGTTTTATCAGTTATATCTTATCGAAAGAAACTGAAAGAAAAAAAATTATTTCAACTATTTCCTGATATGAACGCAATCAAGCATTTTCTAAATGTAAAAATAAATCTCCCAAAGCAATGTTTTTATGTTACAGCCCTTCGTACTTTTTTTTTTCCATTTTCTGTCAATGCTAAGACGATTCTATTGTACCTCCGAACTCGAAGATCACATGTGTCTGATTCTTTCATCACTTTTCTTATACATAACATATAATCGTATCTATTCATCAATATATCATATATTATATATAGGATGTCGTATTTACACGTGTACAGAAATTTTATAAAGTGCCAATAAAAATAGACAAGTAAAAAGTTATTTTTATTGTGCTTGCTGTATATATGTATTTATATATACAAGCATATGTATACATACATAAAAAAAGCATTATTATAAGTCTTGTCAAAATTCAACCAATAAGACGAGGAAAATGATAACATTCTAAGCATTTAAAATATTTCGATTATCCTTAACTTAACGATACAGCTATTCTTTTATGTTACGATCCGAGAGATTTATTCCTATTGTAACGTATATGAGTTGATGTGTTTATATGCAGAACTGTATAGCAAAACCGTTGTTACCTAGCACGTAATATTTTTCCCCCAAAAAAACAACGATTATACGACGCACCTCAGTCCCCCTTACCACGATACTCAAACGTTTAATTGTTATTATAGTTATCGATATATTTATATATATTTTCATACACTCGTGATTCTGAAAGTAGAATACTTGGCACATCATAGAAGATTTTTCATTTATCATTTTTTTTTATTTTTTTTTATTTTTATTTGTTTATTTATTTATTTTTTTTTTTTTTTTATGAGCATGCTCACTTTCGATATTTCTCTTTATCTTGACGACATTACTTACGAAATTCAAGATAAAAAGACAGTGTATATATACCCTGAAAAGATATGTTTAAGAATTATTCGTATAGAATGAATATACTTAGGGCAAAGAGCACCGAGTCGCAACATGCGCTTCTTTCTTTCCTTCCACTAATAGTTTAGAAAATCGTCTTCAGAAGCTTTGGTTTTGTTTTCGAAAGAGTTAGAATCACAATTTAATAATTTTATAATTCCATAAACTTTTACAAACGAGCAGTCAATCAGCCTTTGGCATCGTATAGCAGCGACGTCTTTCGCAATTTTTAGTTTTCAAAAATTTTTCAATTTTCGTCTACTCGTAAAACTACCTTACCAATCACTAAATTAATAAATCAAACGACGCAAGTAACTCGATGCTCTCGGCCCTCTAATTAACTCCTCTTAATCCTATTCCATTGTTAATTTTAAAAATTCATAAATTTTGGAAGAATATCTTTGTTTTTTTTTTTTCTTTTTTCACACAGTCATTAGATTCGTATAGCTTAACAATTTTACACATTTATCACGAAACACTGACGTGAATAAATTCCGTATACGATTTTTCTCATAAATTTCTTAGCGCTTTTCTCTCATCACCTATTACTATCTATATATTATTTGTAAACGAAAGAACATCACAGAATTTGATTTCCTACATTTTTAATAGCCAATTTTTTGTTTCCCAACTTTCCTCATACACGACAAATGGGAAAGCTAGTGCACGTGCTTGTTTACGCAATCGTAGAGAATTTAATTTTTATAATTTTTTTTCTTTAAATATTTTTATCCTCTCGTTGATCATTTGCCTAATCTATTCCTCCTCTTATCACAGATACGAAACATTCCGAAAATGACTAGTTTCAATTTTACTAGCGCTTAAATTTTTTCCTCGAATTAGCTCACGTGAGCTGGCCCGAAACAAATCAAAATTTGTTGCGCAAATTTATAAAAATTTTGAAAGCTCTCCACGCTTTGCGTAAACTACGTGCTATTAAGTTTCTTACTCATTACATTTACTTTTGTTATTATTATCGATGGATCAAAAGACGTTTTTTCCTCGAGAATAAATTTCAAATTGACGAAATCATCTTCAAACCGATTAGCTTAGTTGTTCCTTCGATTGTACAATCACGAATAGAAATTTTCCTATGCGCGTGAAAAATTTTTAAAAATCGCGTCTACTTCATCCGCTTCACACCAAGTATCGATATAGAAGATATGTTTTGGATTCTCCTATCAACTTTCCACAGATTTATTTTAGATTGATTAATTCTTACTTTTCTTAGCGTGAAATCAAACGTATCACTTGATAGATATAAACGCTTTCCTTTTTGTATGAGTTTGTACTTGACAATGTTTGAAAATTTTTGTTTTGTTCTATCATAAATGGCATCATTTCTTCAAAATTCATTTTACCCACCTTCTGGATATCGAGCTTAATACCTAAAACACGTGGCATTTAACTTTTTTTTTTTTTATTTTTTTTTTTTTTTTAC